CACGTGTGAGACTGCGGCCAGACGCGTGTGTCCCGTCCTGGTCTCCCCAGGACAGGAAAGACACTGACAGACCAGCGCTGTTGAGAAGGTGAGGGGCTGGGGCACATGGCACACAGGGGCAGGCTGAGGGAGCTGCTGCTGTGCAGCTGGGAGAAGAGGAGGCTCAGGGCTGGGGCTGACTAGTCATCTTCCAGAACACTGATATTGGTTTCCTCACCCAATACCAGGCAGAAAATCAGCCTGTTTATCTCCCACACGCACTTCACCATGGCTAGTTTTGCTATTCAGAACAGCAAAGGCCTTGTCGAAAAAAGAATAAAGAGCCAGCTTTATTTCCCCCACCTTGCATCCCTACTTTCTTTGGTAGGATACAAGCCATGGGCTCATCTCTCCTACCTGCTTCCTGAGTCTTATTGATCAAAGAAAGAGAGCATTCAAATGTGAGCGTTCTTTGCCAACGTGCATGAAAGCAGCATCGCATGTCTAGTTCATGAGACACGTGAGAAAAGAGCTTCACCTTACTGGTAGGAATAAAACATGGCAGTGCGTCTAGTTCATGAGACACGTGAGAAAAGAGCTTCACCTTACTGGTAGGAATAAAACATGGAAGTGGAGCTTTGCTGTGAAAGAAAACTGGTTCTACAGAAAAAAATACCTCTGTGAGCTCCTCAGCTCCTCTGGCTTTAAGGTCTTGAACCCCACAGCCAGTAGGCAGCGGGCCGTGGGGACAAGTACTGTTCTACACCTTGGTTTCTAATCAACATCATTATTTGTTTTACTCCCTCGTGGAGCCATGGAGTGGACTGACAGGTATCCAGCAGAGGTTACTGGAGCCCAGGGCTTGCAGCAAACCAGGGAACACACGACACTGATGGTCTCGGTGCACCTCAAGGACTTCATATCAAGTTTGCTCTGTATAGAAGTAGAAACACTTTTTTGGTTTGGTTTGGTTTGGTTTACAGGGGTTTACGTTGTTTTGTTGTTTGGTTTTTTTTTTCTTTTTATCTACTACACTATGTCTCTCCCTCTTAGAGCAAAAAAATCCAAACTATTCCATTGCTTACTCATGTATTTCCACGTCCTTCCAGTTCTCTGTTTTTTAACATGTTCCCTCGCTTTATTGTGCTCAGAGATAAATAGGAAACCCCATTCAGCACTGTGTCAAGAATGAAATAGCACGCATTTATTCAAGGGTGAGTTGCAGCTAAATTCAGCTGGTTTTGCTGTAGAGACTGGATGGAGATCAGCATCTCCAGAGCACGGCTCTTGTCATCCTCAGGTAAGCAGAATGAATTGTCCTTTGGAAGTACTGCCCTTCTACCTTAAGTAAGAAGAAAGCTTAGACAATTTGCTTCTTCACAGTAGGTGAAATGAATTCCAGCAAAAGTGAGTTGGCAGAATCACCCAGGAGACCTGTGGCAGAGTGAAAAACTGAGCTTCGGTTTCTCAGTCATCCTCTTTTAGGTCACTGTAAAATAGTTACCCATATCTTTGCCTACCTTCTATTTCTAAATGATCCTAAATAATCTCTACTTTCGTTAGCACAGCCATATCAAATGAAGTTTGTCTACAGTGCAAATGGGTTCTACTGTGGATAATCATAATCTCCTTAATGAGCCAAAACTGTCATAATCTCATTATGTATTCAGGATGCCAACTCCTGTACTTACCGCTATGCCTGTCTTGAAAAGGAGGTAATGGACCGTCTGTGTCACATCTGCAGCATGCATTAGATTGTGATATGGATTTTTGTGTTTACTGTAGCCAACCTCCAGAGCTTCCACAAAGGACACCAGGGCAGAAATGGGGATCTGAGGAAATCAGCACAGAATTAAAAACAAAATAATCACCTTTAATGGCTAGCATTTGGAGTGGAGCATTTTGATAAGAGGTCTCAAAGAGTGGTTTATACTTCACAAATAAATAACATGCTGAAACATCTGAAACAGGCAGTCAAGAGAGAGAGTGTGAATCCAGGTTACCGGTTTTCCCATCCCTAATTACATTATGGATGAATTATTCCCACACATAAACACACACAAGTATACTATGAAATGTCTGGAAGACACACACAGTATGACAAGTAAGAGAGAGCACTTGGCTGATTGCCCCTGGAAAAATATTTCTAATTATGCAATAAGCATGTCTCTGTTCTCCTCACAACCCACTGGAATATATCTTGGGCTACATCAAAAGAAACATGACCAGCAGGTTGAGGGAGGTGATTCTTCGCCTCTGTTCCGCTCTCCTGAGACCCCACCAGCAGTAGTGCGTCCAGCTCTGGAGCCCCCAACATAAGGAGGACATGGAGCTGCTGGAGCGAGTCCAGAGGAGGCCATGATCAGAGGGCTGGAGCACCTCTCCTGTGAAGACAGTCTGAGAGAGTTGGGGTTGTTCAGCCTGTAGAAGAGAAGGCTGCAGGGAGACCTTATTGCAGCCTTTTAGTACTTAAAGGAGGCTTATAAGAAAGATGAGGACAAACTTTTTAGTAGAGCCTGTTGTGACAGGACAAGGAGTAATGGCTTTAAATGAAAAGAGTTGATTCAGACTAGATACAAGGAAGAAATTTTTTATGTTGAGTGTGGTGAAACACTGGAACAGGTTGACCATAGAGATCGTAGAGGCCTCACCCTGGAAACATTCAAGGTCAGGTTGGACAGGGCTCTGAGCAGCCTGATCTAGTTGAAGATGTCCCTGCTCATTGCAGGACACAGTACTCCAGGTGGGGTCTCACCAGAGAGAGGGAGTAGAGGGGCAGAATCACCTCCTTTGACCTGCTGGCCATGCTTCTTTTGATGAATTTGAATTTGAATTCAAGCTTTCCTTTTTTGCCTGCATGCTTGAGAGTCCTATGAATCTCAGGAGAATTACACCACTGTTCCCACAGGATCAAATGTATTTCCCATGGATTTCATGGGGAAGCCTGTTTGGAACCCCACCTACTTCATGGCGTCCCATCGCAATTAAAAGTACTACTTAAATAACATTTTGTCTTGCTTACTGGGGAAAGTACAGTGTCCACAAAATCTTCAAATACTGCTTAAATTGCATTTTGAATGGAACAAAGCAGGATGAGAGGAAGTTCAGCAAAACCCGAGATGGAAGAAAAGACCCATCTTCTAACTACTGACCTTGAAACGGTTGATCAGATCATAGCGTGTCAGAAGTTCATAGAAAATGAATTTCAGTGCATGATCCCCACTGGCATCATTTAGTGCAAATACATCAAAGGACCACTTGTCTACATTCTGCAAGAGTGGGTAGAAAAGGCAGTTAATACGGTCAGCCCTGTTACAATGATAGTTCAACATCTATCACTTTACATCTACAAATGGAGAATCAGAGTGGCGATGTAAGTGTATAGCTTTTTTTTTTAAACTTCTTCAATTTCATTTAACCAATGCAGAGCCTAATTTACTCATCAGTATTGTATGAAGCTTCCATTATGAACACATATGCTGTTTGTTTATTCTAAACATGGCAATTCTCCACACCAGAATTTAATCAGCAAAGGTTGAATCAAAAAAAAAAAAAAAGAATCCTGGTTTGCTTTAGTACCTGAAACATTGGGATAGCCCTATTGTGGCTGATTTTATCCATCTCTGTCCCCCACCCACGTGCTATGTCTATGAAAAATAATATTAACTTTGAAGGAAACAGGAATAACAAATATATGCTTTTAAATTATATTAAAGACTCTAGATTTTGCTGTTCCTACAGAGTTCTTAGGACTTTGTATTGTGAGCAAAGCCCTCCAATGCTTCACTCATGCTTAAAACAGAATAAGGTGATATGTTTTTTACAGTAAAAAACCATACAGGCACCTGTGGTCATATTTTTACCACTTACTGTTCAATCAACCAAAATAATAACTAACTAGAAGAACTATCTTGCTAGACCCAAAGAGCAACTTAGTTCCTTCTGATTTTAGTATTAATCCTGAATTGTGATTATTGCAGCTTAAATTGCCCAAAGATAGCATGACCCTAATTTTCCTTATTTTTTTTTTTAAAGATAAGTGAGTCCACTGGGGCTTTCAGAAAACTACAGAGCAGGAGAAAATCACAGTAATGTTACATTAAGTGCTAACACTGATATAAAAACCAAACTTTATGACAGAAGAGCAAATATCTAATTCCAGTTGGGAAAGTTCAAATCAGCTGTAAATGATATACTAATGCTGCAGGGTGGTCGGACAAGAGATTGAGGAGGGAAAGTTCACTTCCCAGCTCATAAAGCTAAAGTATAAGCTATAAACCTTCTTGCAGAAGGCTGAGTTCAAATCTCAGCTCTTAGGGAAGGCCATAGGAGCTGACAGCACACTTTATCTAGCAAGATAAAGCTCCTTGATCTCAGAATTGGATGTTCCTGAAACCCTATGAACCTTTCTCTCCTCCTCCTAGCAACAGAGGAAAGGTGCAGAAGGAGTTGTAACTAGAAAAATGATATACACATCAACCATGCAGCTGAATCTGGCACAGGACCAGCTCTCAATCTCTCTTGCTTGCTGAGAACTTTGATGTACATCCCACAGGGATTTATCCAAATTACTCTCTTTAAACCACATATTAAAGATTGACATTTGTACATGGAAGTTTCCCCCCACATTCAAACTCTGTTGCAGGTTACCTCCCATTTCCTTGTGGCACTGTCACCAAGAAAGATAGATGACTACATTTCACACACGCATGTGCACAGCTGCTCTCAGTGCAAGAAATAGGGTTGGCTAGACATAACATTGAGTACTGTTAAGGATTAGAGTCCATCTAAAAATCTACCATCTTTTTTAGCAATACTAAAAATGCTAAATTACGATTATCTACTGAGCTCTTAAAGCCCAGGCCACCTTTGTTTTTTGTTGTAATGGTCATGTTCCATGACTTCAAGTCAAATGCAAAGGACAGTGACCTTTAACTGCCTTGTGGTTGGTCACCCATACATCAGCATAGCTACAGGATTTATGTTCTGAACAAGAGCAACATATTTTGGTACTGACTCTCTCCATCTTGCTACTTGCATAGTGTTGATTACACAGAGCTGAGTATGCCTCTTGTGGAAGTACAGTCCATGCAGAGGCTAATTAATGAGTGAATATCAAGTGCACTGAAGATTCAGCTCTACTTTCACCTAACCCAGTAAATCACTTGCTTGCTGAGTAGTTGATTTTACAAGCTGTGTGGAGCCCACACATTGAACGCAGGGTCAAGCTTCTCCAGAGATGATCTGTGGCCCAAGTCACAGAAGAGCAATCATAAATTGCAGCTTTTCAACACTTTCAGTAGGCGTTGGAGAGGAAAAACAATCAAGAGAGGAAAAAGTTCCACCAAGAAAACATGTTTTGAAGCCCTTGAACAAACTTAGCAAACGAGCAATAAAATTAATGCTCAAAGCATCCACTCAGTCAATCTTAAGTACTTTCCTGGTTTTTGAGTGTTTTTATTTTGTAATCACTTACATCAGTCAATGAAGCAAATTAATTTAATACTTGCATGTATATAATAATAATAATTTACTTTGGGGTGTTATGGCATTGAAAATAATGTCTCAACTATGCTGAAATTTAATTCACTGTAAGGCAATCTTATCTTGTAGAAATAAAAGGGTTTTGTTCCTTGTCCTGGTTTTGGCAGGAATACAGTTAATTTTCTTCCTAGTAGCTAGTATAGTGCTGTGCTTTGGATTTAGGATAAGAATAATGTTGATAACACACTGATGTTTTTAGTTGTTGCCAAGCAGTCAAGGACTTTTCACCTTCTCATACTGGCCTGCCAACAAGAAGGCAGGGGGTGCCCAAGAAGCTGGCAGGGTGCATAGCCAGGACAGCTGACCCAAAGTGACCAAAGGGATACTCCATACCATATGATGTCATGTTTCATATATAACTGGGGGTGGGCCGGGAGGAGGGGCAGCTCAGGAACTAGTTGAGCATCGGCTTTGGGTGGTAATTGTGCTGTGCATCACTTGTTTTGTATATTATTATTATTATCATCATCATCATTTTCCTTTTCTGTTCGATTAAACTGTCTTTATCTCAACTCATGAGGTTTTCTTCTTCCATTTCCAATTCTCTCCCCGCTCCCACTGGGGAGGAGGGTAGCAAGCGAACGGCTGTGCGGTTGTTTTAGCTGCCTGCTGGGTTAAACCACAACATTCCTTTATATATTTTTCCTGTAATTAATTTTGTGCTCTTGCAGCAGATAAAATTTACCAAATTGTGAAATTGCAGAATAGTACATCAGAATTGTTCTTTTGCATGAAATAAATGTTAACCACATAGACAATAAGTTTCACAGTAGAGCTCTTTAGATTTTACTGAGGGAGAAATCCTTGCTCTTGTTAAGTCAACAGAAGTTTTGCTATAGACAGTAATGACAGCAGCATTTTACCCTGAATAACCAGGGGGAAAAATCCTCTTAACAGAAACATGAAAGTGTCACAGATGGCTTAGAGGCCACCAACACAAGTTATGCTTTGAAAATTAGTGGATTTTATGACCTTAAAAAAACCCCACACACAACCTAACACAGAAGTGACCCCTATATTGGGGAGAGATCTAAAGGGAGGCAGAACTTCATGGATGTCTCATGATGGAGGAGAAAAACTGTTTCTTCTACCTAAGAAAAGGAGAACTGAGAGCTGGGAAACTTCCTGCATTACACATGTCTCTAGGTCACTGGCCCTGTAGCTTCACCTGAAGTGTCATAATGCTGCTCTAATGTGGTGGATCTCAAATAGATCCAAGATGTCTTAATTCTCAGTTCTGCATCCTTAGTACTTGGCCATTGCTCTACTGCCTGGGCGAACCTAGAGATTAAGTGAAACACCAGTTCTTCCTAAATGTTCAGCTTCCTGCCTTTCTGTCTGTCCTTAACCTTGGAGATTTGACCTGTTTTATAACCCAACAAGGAGATTCAGGGATAGATGTTACTCTGCACAACATTACTCAAAGGCCTGACATTTTTGCAGCCACAGACAAGAAGTCTATACTGCAGACATTGTAAGTGACTACAAGTGCTGTGTTCATTACCTGTGTATTAGCTAGCCCAGAAAATATTGCCATGATGGCATAGGCATCAGAAAAGCCTGTACTTCTAAAACAGGTAATTACTTCAGCAGCTAGTTAACGGGAAGTTGTGTCTAACACTACACTGCTGAACAGCAGATCACAACTTACTGGATAAATTAACATACTTATTCACACTTGTCTGTATGAACGTATGCATGGCCATTATTCAAATGAAAGACAAAGCTGATCATCCCTTTTGTGGCAACAGGTCTTACATCATCACACCCATGTCATCCAGAAAGGCAACAGGCTACTGCAGTAGAAAAATCAGTATCTGATACATACATATAGAGAGAGATGCAGTGCAATCAATTAAAAAAAATGCCTAACTTCTCATCCACTGAAAAAGTGAGAGAGATTACACACCTAGGACTTGCACTGCTACCACTCCATCTCTATTTTTTGCAGAAGCTGCAGCATTTCATTGTTTTATTAAAACTAATCTCATTTTGCCAAGCTGATTCCACAGTTTTGGGTTACTCAGTGCAGACATCCTGCTGGCCATGGCAGCAAAAATGAGAGCACATAGTTAAAAAATAAGCTAGCTTTGACTCCATGTCATCTCGATCCTTGTCCTTATTAGCATGACTCTGAGGGGGAATGTTGGTTATGGCAATCCAGAACAGCTGAAGAGATGTGTGTGGTACACTTCTATATCCTTTTGCATGCTTAAACCATCAGCTCATTTTACATAGCACACCAAGCAGTCGGGTAGTTGTAAGTTTTTTTTTACTTGGCTTTACTGGACTGAAGCAAGCAACAAAATGTACCATTTTCCATTAAGGGGATGGGACTGAGAAATTTAAGAGTATTAAGAGAAATTGAAGTATTATTTCAAAGACAGAAGACTTCTTCAAAGCAAGTAACTCCCATTTCAACCACATCCACTACCAACCCCAAGGCCATCCAGGCAAAGACATGTTCTCAAAATAGTTTTGGAAAAAAATACATCCTAGAATGCACAGTGATCAAGCAGGCATTATTTCATCCCAAGCAAAATTAGTCAATGCCTTTGTTGTTATTGATGTGTTTTAACTTACTCTAGCATGATCAGTTGCCTTTATGACCCTTAATCATTTAAAAACATAGAAAGAGGAGAGGGATTCTGTAAGGTTTTTTTTATAAGCTGAGAGTAGCTGACAGGTCTTGGATTGTCTTGCTACTGCTGAGGAGCTCAGCAGAAAAGGTACCATTATAGATATGTTCCCTCATAAGCTGGCTATGGGGTGTAGTTCTAAAAGAACAAAGAGCTTAGATCCAATTTGCAGGAGCAAAGCTAAGACTTGTCAACCTGCAGTTGGAAAAAGGTGTGGATGGATGCTTTGATTCTGTACATGAAAGACATGTTTGGTCATTATTCTTGCATTCAGTAGACCTTCTGCAATTCTTCCACATCTTTTGATGAGTTGTACTATCCAAACCAAAAAGGATTCAATACCCTAACTGTAGGTCTTTCCAGTGTGGAATAGAGCTGAAGGATTGCTTCATAAGCTTTACACATAACGTCCCTGTGTATTGCCCCACTGTATCACCTTTTTTCACTGTTGCATGGCATAGTTGAACCACATGTAACACGTAATCTGCAAAGCTGCTGTATAGGCAGTTGGTTGCTAACTTGTGTTTGTAGTCTTCATAATTCCTGCCTAAGTCAAGAACCTTGCAATTGTCTCATGGATTGAACCTTACTGTTGTTATTTCAGACTACTTCTGACTAATCAGTTTTCCTCTGAAACTTCAAAACTTACAAAAGGGTCATTATTCCTAAACTGATTGCCACCTTGAAGACCTGAAGCTAGGCAATGCAAGAAATTCCCTTCTCTCACAGCAGCTGATCCTTTTCCTTCTCCACCTCTCTCCATCTGTGTTTTCTTTCTTCCTTGTGAGAGGTTGTGATTGATTCCAGCATGTTACTAAGTCCTCAGTTTAATCACCGTAACCTAGAACAGAGCTGTAACCTTCACAACCTGAAAATGGCCACAGCCTTGAACTCTATTCTTGCCTCTATTGAAAGGATATTCCCTTAGGCCAGTAAATGATTAATGTGTGTGAACTAAAGTAAATGTCAGAGAGAAGGAAAGGGCAAGTACTAAGACTTCCTTACCAAGTCAAATATTGCAGTGTTATCTTGATGCTTTGTACAGACACCCCCCCACACGCCCCCCTTTTTATTGGGATTACCTTTAGCACTCCAATTACAGCTGGTGGATAGCTCAAACCGACCATATTTGAAGTCCGTCTGTACATTCTACCAAGATAAAATAGATAAGGCAACACATCAATAGAATTAAACAAACCAACAAACAAACAAAACCCATAAATCAACAGACCACTACAGGAGATGTTATTTAGCCCAGGAAACCCTAACTGCAATTTGGGGTTTTTTTCCTTCTTGTTCCTAACTTGCACAGTATTATCTATACTATTCTTATTGTATAGCCTAACTTGAGACTATACACTCCCTAGTATCTCATAGTTTGGTTACCTGGCAGGACATCACAGAGAATCTGCCAATATCAGGTCTTCATCAGAGGGAAAGGCTACATTCAAATAAACAAGATGTTCCTCATTTTCCACTGCAGATGACCATACTATTCTTTCAGTTCCCTTAGTCCTTGCTGGTCCACATGTAAGCTAATTCTGAAAGTATTTCAGAAAAAAATTGTTGTCTGCAATGATTGAACTCCAGTTCGGTACAGCTGTCACTTTTGTCACTTTTTAGGATTTGTATAAAATCTTTTGGGTGTTTGCCATGTGTGTGTGTTTGAGAGAGACAAAGAGTAAGGCAATAATCAACATCTGCAACAATACTAAACACAGCACTGAAGTATATACCAGATTTTAAACTTGTTTTCAGGCCACACTGTGTTTAACAAGCTTGGTGAATGCAGCAACACTGTCATAGCCAAAATGCCTTTCTGTAGGTCACCCTGTTTCACACTTAAGGAACATAGGACTAAAGATGACGGATAGCTCTCTCCTCTCATCTGAAATGATCCTGTGTGAAGTCTTCCTTCACTTCTCTTTTTCTTTGTCATGTTCTGCACTCAGAGCTGAAAAAGTCAGCTCCTGCTGGAGAATTAAATTCACCCATTCCCCAAATTACAGAACTTCTAACCCCCTCCTCCATCCAATCAGGAGCCCCATAGCCTTCTCTTAGGTGACAATTCAGGCAAAGTCCCTCTCCCGTAGCTCAGGAGAGCCACAACCCTCCTCTGGTGCCATATCATATCTGAACACTTCCTCCTTTGGGCCATAGTGATTCAGATCAGCTGGAAAACAGCCTCCTGCAGCCAGCTCTCTGCAGTTCATTTACTTCCTTGTTGAGCAAGTCCCCCACTGAGAATGAGCATTAATTCACAAATAGCCTGTCAAACCTAGGAGAAATCAGTTCCAAGGAGAAATGACAGGTTTAGTCTTATCACAGTGTGCTGTAACTCTTAACGCATGTACAGTAACTTTGGTACGCAGATTAAAACGGCTATAGACATGCCAGAGGAGGCTTCTCTGTATCTGTGTGGCTTGTGGTCCACTGTCTGATACACCCAACCGCCTGCACAGAGGGCTGGTAGGCTGTCACCGCAATTCTGATGAACAGCGGAAGGTGCTCTGCTCTTCCATTACTGACTTGAGTTTTGCTGTAGAGACCTGGAACCTGCTGTCTTTCATGCTGCCTAAAGTCTGCTGGCAGTCTTGCATGTGCCAGCCCTCCTTCTACCTTGAAGGAAAAATGTCAGCAAAGAGTGGTTACTCGATAAGAAAAGGTAAGATTGGAAGCGAGTCCAAACTGAAATGACTAAATGTTTTAAAGGGTTCAGAAAGTGAAATCAGTTTTAGTAGGAGGTTCTGATGCAAATCACAACAGAGAAGGCTGAGAAGACTCAATAGGTTTCTTGAAATTCTACCTGAGCTCCAAAGTTTTCACTTCAGTCTTGGTCTATAGTTCATTCCAGTAATACTATGATACAGGATTTTCTTCTGTTTCTTAACAGTTCTTCGTAAGAAATACTAGACCACAGACATAAACAGAGGCAAAGGAGGACTGGGCTGGGCTGACCAAATTTCTCTTCTACCTAGGGCTATATAGAGGTGTGTCTTCTCTGTCAAAATTATTGCATCTGTGCTCTTACATCTGTATTATGCTAAGAACAGATTGGTATGTGCTGTTTCAGGCTGCAATCTATTACACAATCCCAGGTTTCGAAGTGCTATCCAGATCTGTGTAGAAACATCATTAGAAGCATATTGAAGTATTCTTCATTCAGTAGAGTCATCTCCTAGTTCTCTGAGGTCTTTTGGCCCAAGGTACTCTCCTCAATCTCCTGTCACTGTGTCAACACATGCTACAGATGCAATCTGCGGTACCTGGACAGCTACTAGAACAAAGTAATCACATGCTCCTTTACCTCTCTACAAATATCCCAGCTTGTACTGCATGGACAATACTCCTGAATCGGGGTTTTTCTTCTGTCCTTTTGAGCATCATCCCCATTTGCCGTGTGAAGGTAGAAGCCAACCAGTCCCGGACCTCCGAGGGCACAGAGTCAGACTGGATGTCACTGAGCTCATCTTCTGTGTCCAGTAAACGCCTAGAAGGGGGAGGAAAAAGGTGGGTAAACAGATTCCCTTGGAGAGCATTGCAACTTTATTAACAAAAAAGAAACTCACATATATTCTAATTAAAGCAATTGTTAAAGTCTTTGGTTTGTCAGCCCTAATGGAAAACAATTCTACAAGTCTTCAACAGATTGTTTATTCTCTTGTGTAGTTAAATGTCAGATTGTGAAACTCACTACTAGGCTGACAAACAAGAAGTATCAGCCTCCCGAGCACAACTACGTAATTATCCACTGACTTCTCATCCTCACATCATCAATATTCCCGGCCTTTCTGCCCTTCAGAGGCATCCCATCTCTTTTATGGTCATGCCTAGCTTTCCAGTTATTATCATACAGTCCCCTCCTTTCCCATTCTGGTCATCTGAGGTGACTCTACAAGTGCATTTAGCAGTGAGGAAATGACATACAACAGAGAGGGAACTCCTCTGCAACGTCTTACCAGTCTACTTTTATCATGACCTGGAGTAAAATTTTTTTTAATTTCAAAGTCTTGATACAAGTGAAAAGATTAGTCAAAAGGAACAGAGAAGTAGGAATTTAGAAACTTTCAGAAAAAGTGGGACACAATTATTATGAAAACATTTCTCCAAGAGAATATATATTAAATTTATGATTGCTTTTGATCTCCTTCCCTGCCCCAGGAAACTTAAATAAGTTTTTAGAGCAAGTATTGAAGATCCGGTCTACACAAAATACAGTATTTTAATGATTAAAAACATATTGTCTGTGAGTAATAAATCTTGGCTAAAACAACTTTCCCAACTGACATGTAAATTACAATTTTTTTGTCGTTGCTACTATATATAAGAAGAGTGCTGATGTCTGTAGTTAACTCACCTAGTTTCATCAATGTATACTGACTCAAGAACAGTCGCAGCATATTCCAAATTCTTCTTTAAGTCTACAACTGAAGCTTCCCCTCTCTCTAACTGCTTTACCAAAGACCGCAATCTAGAGAAAAGGAAAACAGAAATCTGATTATTACAAAGAGAAATAGGTTTGAGAGTGAGCGTCAGTTCTAAACTGGATCCAGCATGAGACCCAGCATACATGATTGGCAGGTGAAAACTTTCGGAAGTCTACAAGGTTCTTTAAGCCATATACAAGGAATCAACAAAAATCACTTTTCAAATATCAGTCACAATGATGCCAGGCAAATATCACATTATATTTAGGCTCAAATAAGTCAGCGAGTTATGACTGTCCCCTGCTCATACTGAAACAAATTAAAATAGATATCACTTGGAATTTAACACAGGAGCTAAGAGAGGGCAATTTTATTCCAGCCATAAGAAAGGAAGTAACTTCTTGAGTAGTATCTGTTGACAAATGTCCACCATTTATGATGACTGTGTACACACATGCAAAATTGTATTAGAGTATATCTAGAAATGCTATTGCAGAAATACTATACAAGATTAGGATATGCTATGATTTTCATTAAACCAAGAGGTCACCCTTAGACTATCCCACCTCTATTGAACAGAACTCATGGAAGTGTTTTTATCAGGTTATTATTTCCTTTTGTCTTTTCCTCTCCTTCACTCTACTTTCTGTCAGAAATTAGAAAAACAAAGGAAAGAAAGAGGAGAAGAAAACAGTAAAGAGTAAAATCTAAATATTTTAAACAATCGAATATACATGCCTGCAATTAGAAGAAAATTATCATTCCTTTAAAAAGACAATGGGATAAAGATTTAACTTGTTAAAACATTTTTGTGATTGTCTTCATCCTTGTTAAACAGCAGTTAAATAAACATTCAAATACACATTTAACACTGTAGCAGAAATCACAAGTAGTTAATTTGTCCTGTTCAAGACACAGAAACTTAGAGGAGTAGTCATGTCATCTAAAATTTGTCTTCTACTTGGGAGACTACTCTTCCTCATCTTTTTTCAATAGTCCATGGAGAAAAATAACCTTTTCCACAAGGTAATTCAGAGCTAGAGCCCAATATAGATGCCTGCCCTCACTTCATTAACCATAGTGGGAGTCCAACCTCCCAACCTCCTATAGCAGACATGTGCATGAAGTTCTTAAAATGAAGTATCTGTGTTCTCTTGCTACAACAATCCCCCTGTGGCATCAGTGCTTTCAGGAGAAATCAAGTCTCCGTGGGGCTGTATTTCATGGCAGAGCTGAGGAGCAGTCAGTCTGCCCGTGTGCACTGCACCAACAGCTCCTTCCAGCTGGGTTTCCTTCCCCCGCCTTTCCCCACATAAACAGTGAGGCTGTGGAGAACAAAAATCATAAAAAATATTGATTGTTCCTCTGGCTAGGTCACATAAATGTCACTCTTACTGACAGCATTTCTGCTGACACACAGCTATGTACTTAGTTTTACAAAGAATCTTGAGTAAGAAGTGGACCCTCCATCTCCAGGAGGATTAACTCATCTGCTTGTCAGCGGCCGAAAACCAAAAGTATTGTTCAATACTTCATTCCTGATGTGAGAATGGAGATGGGAAGCTCAGTGATGTACTAATTCACTGAACACAACTCTTCTCATCTTACAGAGAGAGAATGCCAGGTGGAGAGCATTCGACTATGCCAGTATATTTCCCTCCAATCCTGGAACCCAGCTCAGAGAATCCATGCAGCAACCTCAGCCCCATGGAAGAAGAAACATGGCTAGGTGCTCCCATATTCCCTTTTCTGTGTAACTGCACCACCAGGTGTGAGCAGCAACATGTTGTCTTTGATGAGCAGCGCAAGGAAAGGTGCTCCCCCACCTTTCAGGTTAATTCCAGCCTCAGGCAGTGCACGTGGAAGATGAATTCACCTCCTTCCTAGAGCCAAACCATTGATCCCTCCTACCTGTTCCCAGCTTTTCTTGCCAATGCAGGAGGGGAGGAAGAGAAAAAAACAAAACAACTTTCACATCCAAACAGTAAGCATTGGTTCATATGCCTCCTCCTTCCTTCATCCCACGTACAGGGAGTCCAGAGATGTGACCCCTTATCTAGTTACCAGAAACATTGTTTGTACACAAGCCACAGGAGTCAATATTGCAGGAGGAACATTATCTTAGGCTCTTCCTGACTTTTATTTCATTGATTTAAGTACTTGACAGCTCTATGCCACAAGTCATTCAAAATTCATGTTCAATAATAGCACAGTGAGTAACGGTTGCTTCATGGCACCAGCATTCATCATCGATGAAGATTATGCAGAGTACTGCGTGCATCAATCATTTGGAAAAACAGAAGTACAGTTGTTATAATAAAACCTTATCACATGATCAGCCACTCTCATGTGAAAAAAAATTACATTGTCTTTGTCTTACCATCCATTATCTACAACTATTTCTGATTCATTGAGTCACAGCAGCTGCTGCCAGTTATCTTTACTAAGTAAGAGTCCAGTGATAGTTTGTCTTTAATGCCTTCCATGTATCTCTATTTTTTTTAAATAGTCCTAAATGCAATCATGAAGTTAAGGTCAGGCTGTCTCCACTGAAGGGCATCCAGGCAAATTTATTAGCTGAAAAATTCTGATTCGGGGTGGCTGAAGTAATTCTGGAATTCAATCAAATTCACCAAACCATTTTGACTGAAATAAAAACATTACCACAAACTTTTAACACGTTTTATTTTTAGGAGCTTGTATTAAAGGAATGGAAGCAGAGGGCAAGATGCTGACTTCCTATCTCAACCCCATAGACTAGTCACTGCAGCAAGTGAGTAGGGTTCAGTCACATGTACCATTGCACAGGAAAATGCTGAGTCTGTCAAGCTACTGACTAAAAGAAACATAGTAATATAATTATCATAACAAATTTAAGGAACTCAGTTCATTTACTTTGCTTTTGTTGTTATTGTCTGTTTTGTATGAACAAAACACTTTTTTCAACCAAAGCATGTTTTGTTCTGTTTTAAAAAGTTCATTAGAGACTGAGCAAAACCCACATTTTCATTGTTCCTTTTTTTTTTTAACTGCTTTTCCTTTCAAGTTCAGAACTAAAAATTTGCACAGATCTACCAGACCTAGTTCCACTGAAGCCCATGGAGTGAGTTGTAGGAGAAGCAGTCATTCCTGTGCATAAGGATATCCCAGGCCAGAAGGGAGGTGTTAACCATTTGTAACATTAAGCTGTCTTAAGACCATGGCACATGCCACAAGTGAGCCAGGCTGTAGGTCAGCCAAAAATTTCTCAGATTATAGTCATCAGCACAGCAGCTACAAAGAACTGGTTAGTCACACACTATTAGTTCTAAATCTAGTTGCTTAATTATATTCAGATAGAGCTAATGCCTTTCTTAATAAGATTTCCAAGGGAAGCTATTTCTCCAGCCTGCAAAATCTCTGTGAACATGTGCCAAATATTACGGAAAAAGTCTGAGAGCCTTTGTTCTACTCACAGTTATTTCACATTTTACTCCTTGGAATAATCCCTTAACTGCCCAAAGAAAAAGCCTAGTCCTAAGCAATGCTATGCATTTTAACTTCCTCTGACCCCACAGGGAGCTCAAGTACATGTAAAATCTCAGAAAAGGGGCTAGACCACTTCCAGAATATGGCCTCCTGGTATTGACCTTCCAAGGGAAATATCTGTATGCGCCCACCATAAAAAAAGCCTGAGAGCATCTGCAAATAATCCCACTGAATTCGGCAGAGCAATATGTTTGTGTGCAGCAGGCAGGTCGGGTCCTCAGTGAAGGTGAGAGGTTATCCAAAGTGAACACTGTTCCACAGCCCCGCTCCCGCTCTTTTTCTTGTTTCCCTGAAGTACTAGCTATCGTGAGATTCAGGGATGGAAAGCAAATGACTAGAAACTGGGCAACTGAACTCAGTCCATGAAAGTTACACAGCTCAAAGACCCAAAGCCACTCTAAATCCAAACTGAGTAACAAGAAAAAGCGAAGCTGTTTTCAGCGTGTTCTTGAAATGTAAAATTTCTGAGTAACCGCTCCAAGCATTCTCCTCTGTTATAAATAAAACAGTATCTGTGTACAAATATTTATCTCCTTAGCTAGAGGGCTTCCTTTTATGCTGTCGAATTTTTTTAAAAATAGCATTACATATCACTGCAGAGATTACCACCACAGTCTGGATACCAGTCAGCTTCAATTAACATGCAAAGCACACGTATTGTCTGAATACTTGGGGCAAGTTCCTTCAACCAGTGTAAAGTCTGCAAAGCTGCACGGCTAGCCTCCACATTTAATTTCAAAGCTCCACGACTGTGATTCACCACACACTTTCAACAGTACAACTCAATCTTTTCCTCAGCCATTGGTCCAGCTGAGGAAAAAACTACTTTGAATGTACATTAAAAATTAAAACATATAAAAATTTCTAATTTCGTTAGAGATTACCAAGGATGGAATATTTATCCCTGTTTTACTCTTGATGTTAACGGCTAAACAGTTTGATATTGACAGCTAAACCTGATTAATATATTGTTTCAATCACGATAGCCTGCTCCCTGACAGATGAGGTTTGTAGAAAGCAGATATTTTTTACTATAGCTGGGAAAAGAGGGCAAGCTATTGAACACAGCACTGCTAGAGCTGGTTAAGTACTCTCTTGACACAATGTTCTTTCACCAATTGTTTCTAATTCTTTGAGATCAAAAGCTATCCACAAGCCTCTGCCAAGTCTGATACAAGTTTCATTAAGAAAGCCTGCAGTGGAATCTCTTAGCGAAACTAAGCCCTGTCCACGTAGAGAAGGCCCTCACCAGGGAGAGGAACCCTGGGCTGCAGGTCCCTTTTAACACATACTCAAATTGGAGATCCCAGAGCTCAGGTGATAGACTGAGGGAATCATGTCTGATAGGTCAGTCCTAAAGAACAGCTCGGTGGGAGACAGGACTTGTACCCTAGACCAGAAAATCTTCATGAGCAGATTATTTGCCTGGGTTGTGAGTTCAAAAGTGTGCTACAGATATGGGTTGGAAGAAATTTTTCAAGGTTTCCCGTCTCCCATCTGATGAGGAGGAGGAGCGGAAGGTAGATGTGGTCCACACCACACAAAAAATGCTTTGGATTTCTCTTCTGTAAAAATATGAAAATGTTCTGAAAAACTTCAAGAGATTTGAGTAACATGAGAACTTCTCCCACCCTTGCTAATAGTCACACCGCGAGCTAAAATGAGTTATTGGCTTCTTTGCTGCAATAACTCCAGAAAAGACGTGTCATTCTTACTTCCTTTCAAAGATGCACATAGTTCATATTCACAAACAAAACCTTTTCATAACACTAAATCATTCCATGGCTACAGCTATACATGAGAATGTCCCTTCTCAACTCTTTTGTGAGAGTTTTACTGATGTACCAAGAACACACCGTGCAAGAAAGTTTTGCACAGAGAACCGAATTTTATAGACACCTGACAAAAATGGGTGCGTGTAGCAACAAAAAGTCAGGTGTCATGTCCTGAATGTTGGTTTCATATTGAGGAGAGAATCTGTTCTTGCTATTCCTCAAGTTTTGAAAGCTTTGGAATCAACTTTTAAAATTTAAGTCAAAGTTTCCTTAAGCAGACAGTATCCCATTGCATTCAGTGCAATGCTGACACTGCATTCCATGAGCAAACAGTTTGGGGGTTCCCTCTCAAACATAAAGGATCCTGTAACACATTTTGTAAGAAATCAGGTTTGCTCTCACCATCTCTCCCTATTTTTGTGAAGTAACTTTGTGCTGGTCAGGCATTTCCTTCAGTCTCAAATGTCACCGACTTTATATGGAAGCGGGGATACTTGTAAAAGGCGTTGCAATTGCATATCGGATAAGAATGTAAGCTGCAACATATCCATATAAGAAACCACTTCTAATAAACTTGCCATGATTAATGCTTAGATACACAAATTTTCCCCCAAAATATTGTCAGCTTTAACTTCAGTACGGGACATTCTGTTCATGCTCCTGTTCATCACAGAGGTTCACAAGCAAAAACTGGCACACAATGAGATTGCTTCCCGTCACAAGAAGGTCCTTCATGAGTTTTCTGCAGACAAAAAGAATGTCATTACAATTAGACGTTAGTGAGGAACACTTTCAGCTTCAGCAAATCTTTGCCACTCTGACTCTGGGGGCATGAATAACAGGCACCTTCTGCTATCAGTCTGTCTTCATGTGGCTTTTGTTAGTCGAATTACCCTTATGCAATGAAAACCCAAGTGAATGATTTCAAAGACAACTCATTTACAATAACATTCTTTTGATAGCCAGCTCAAACTGCCTTTTTCAAAAAATCAAAGTAAATAAAATCAACCACAAGCTTTAGAAATTAACAAAATAATAATAATCAGAAGTAGACCTGATTGCATAAATGCCAGTTGCAGTTTACACACAGGCTGGAAAGACAAACATCTGCTGAACTGAAAGACAAAACCTTGCCTTCTGATCTCTACAGTACATTCCTTACCCTTCTCTGGGAGACTACCATAATTACTGGTAGGAAATTCATGAATAAATTTGAGAAACAGATGTTCACTGTGCAGTGAACTATATTTCTATTCAAGAATTGCTACACAGAAATAGGTGTGCATCTGCTATCTCACTATAACGTACAAACTCAATAAATCTGATATTCCGAGGACATACCAGAGTTAGAGAGCATGTGCAGACCAGCTAAGCAGTGAGTGCATAGAACGTCTGTCAGATGCCCCATGACAGTATCCGACTGCCTGCCAGCATGTAAAAAAACTGCAAAGCAAATGCACAGGATATTTAACACTGCCCAAAAGTATCCAGAGCAGACTGCCTGCGGTTATGCAGCATAATGCATGTGTGCAGTAGCCTCAGACAGCCGGGTGGACAGATGCCTCCACAGTTTGCACAGCAGACCCTTTGATGCTCCATTCAAATAGAGGGTTGCAGGGAGGGGTACAGAACACACAGAAAGTAATCCAGGAGCTCGCCATGTTTTTTCACAACAGTCAGCAGGTATGATTCATTCCACAGTCTGCCACATCTTAGTCTAAGGCTCTGCATACAAAGCATGTGTGAACCACCGAGGAAAAGACACAACCTAGAAAGCCAGCTCCAGCAGTAATCCTCAAAACAAAACTGAAAATAGAGTAACCGGTAGCCTGTGACCCAATGGATTTGTATTAGGCTGGATAGTTATCTTCTATGGCTGCTTTTGTATAGAAAAATGCAACTGAGAACATCCAGAGGAAGAAAAAACTTGTTTGCAAGGAGCAATCACTGAAACACAACACATTACTACACTGGCATTTTTCGTTAGAAGAAATTACAAGCAATTTCCCAAGTAATTGTTTTGCCTTCCTCATGTTTCCTGAAATATCCTTCTTCCTTTGAATAAAAAAAATTAAAAAAAAATTTGAAGTAATCTTGTGTTATTTAGAAGCATGACAATGCAACAATGACAAGTTCAGGGGCCTTGGCAGGATAGTGAATGGCTTGTTTCAACTCACTTTAACTCAAATAAGCTTTTGACCGCATTAACCAACTATAAGTGAAATCATATATTGTTTATTTTTTCACTTCACAGTCATAAATTCCATCATGCTTATTACAGGAAGGGAAGTCCTGTGCCCAAAATATTAGCAAACTTTGGCTTACTGGAGGATTTTCAACAAAACAACAGCCTACGCAATTCCTCTGCACCAAGTCCTTTGAATTACTCTTGTCTCCATCTCCTACTACTGAAAACTTCTAAAAGGCATACTCTCTTCTTATCTGCAAACACCCTTCCTATTCTTGAGTTCTGAACTTTGAGAACTGAGTCAGAAAATATAAGCAGTAAAAAGTCTTAATGTGGGTAAAATTTTGATGTCAGAGTCTTTGGTGATGAGGTCATTAGAAGTCTTGGTCATAAGTCCTTTTTCACTCAAGTCAAGCACCTCACCTAGCACTAAACTTTGACAGAAATCAGGCACACAGATGCCCATGGAAGTCAATGAAGATGGACAGCCAGGATGAGTCATCTTCAAAAGCTGCCTGTCACATACTTCCTCAGGAAAGGGTGCACTGCCTTTTTGATGTGCCTCCTTCCCCCACTAATGACAGAAATGAGCTAAGAGACTAAGAGATGAGCTTAGGCAGTCATTGTGGTTTCAGACAGCTAAGATGAGGTGAGATGACTCTTTCCACTGTATAAACTGAGAGCTGAAAGAGGGTAAATTTCAGATGTGGGAGAGAAAGAATGGCTGCTATATTGTGTTTTCACAACTAGCCATCTTCTAACTGGTGTTTCCCAAAGTAAGCTTTCCTTTTGGCAGACTAGTTCTTTTTGGGACGCTAGCATGCATTGGTTTTTTGGGGAAACTGTAGGATCACTGAATTTGTTGAAAATGAGATCCAAAGAAAGCAAATGAAGTCTCCCGGAATTCAGCCTTTCCAAATCACTGGTGCCTTTTATAAAAAATGAACTCAGTTATAACATGTCAGCCACAAATCTAACCATTTTCAATTTGCATCTTTAAAAATAGGTACCTGAAATGAACCATCTAAATTTGCATTTGAGGCAACTAACACAGTTTAGTGTTGATGCATCCAATGACGCATTCCCCTTTGTTTTATACAGACGGAATCTTTTTCTTTGAAACCACAATTATCACACTTCTGGGTCCTTGAACAAGGTCATTCTTCCAAATGATGCTAGCAGATTGCTTTGTGCAGATCTGAATGTCAGCACTCCACACTGGCTCTTTACTTAATGCTCACTGCAGAGATCAGGGAGAAGTTCAACAGATACTTTCAAAATATTTCATTGTAACCTTAGTTCTCCCCCATCTGTTGCCATTAAAATATCTATGGGCAGAAAGTCTGCAATTACCTCATTCTTTCCAGTTCCTAAAATCAATTACGTTCCAGAGCAGCTTTTAGGAGCCCACAGGGCAGTTAGGCAAGTGCAGATCAGAGTCCACATGCAGTGTGAAGTTCAGGCAGGGATATGTCCCTGCCTGGTCTTCAGAAATGCCTAGTAAGCAAAAGTAGGAGAATTGGTTCCCAGGTTGCTTCCTTTCAGACCACCTTCAGCCATCAGCACTCTGAGACCCAGACAAAGACTACATCTCACTTCTGAGATCAGCCATGGTAAGAGACAGGCACAGATCAATGGCAAATTCCCTTACGACCTCAACGCTCTTTGCTGGGTTTGGCAAACTTGTGCTTACTCTAACGGACCCCTAAGTTCCTCTACATCTCTAAAGCAGCTGCATGCTCTTGAAGTCATCATCACTGACCCCACTAGAGACAGGCCAGCTGATATTAGCAAAAGATTTTGTGCTATATATAAATCTGGATTTATAAAGCATTTTCTCATGAGTGATACATTTTACACAGCTGCTAACGTTAATTTTTGCTGTGATCAGAGGTAACTCATTGATAAAACATTTCAGATTTTGTTTATTCTAAACTGGCATAAATGGCAAATGCTCAGATTTCTGGTTAAAAACTTCAACCACTTCCTTTATATGTAAAGGTTTATACGCTCCCTTCGTAGATTTTGGATACCCAGGCACTGAGGCTTTTAGATATATTTAAGATGTGAATCCTCGCTTTTCTGCCTTTGATTTCCATTCAGGACAACATACGTACCAGGAATATTACAGAGCTAATTGACTGACATCATTTATGTAGCTGATTCGCTGGTTTAAAAATAGAAAAATGAGCTGAGTCAGTAGTAAAATTTTACTTATCACCATATTAAAGCTCTGCTATGCACTTTTTGTAGCCTGAAGAAATCATTCTGAAAGTTCAGGAGTTCACCATGCTTCTCTGGTAATACTAGCATGTGCATTTGTTAGCTCAGACACTTAATATGCCTTTTCTCAATATACAATTTACCCTTTTGACAAACATTTTTAAAAGCAAACTGTTGTTCTCCTAAAGCCTACAAAGTTTGCATTAATCTGCAAAATCATTTCCCTCTTGGTGGCTGCAAGTTGGCCAGTCTACATGTCTACAAAACAAGCCTATTCTTGCTACCCTTAATTATCTTTATTTTGAGGGAAGCATTCCCAAAGTCAGCAGTAAACATTCCTTTGTCTTTTGCTAAAGGCTGGAAAACCAAAGGCATTGCCAATTTTTAGCTGCACATGGAGAAGGTGTTGAGCTAGATATTTGCAATGTGAGGAATTTTTAACAACCTGGGAGCTATCAGGAGAACTATATTCTTTGGAGAGAAATGGCGAGAAGACGCAATTACAAAATGAAAACTGGAGGTTGCCAAAGCCACAAATTGTAACAACAAATAGTTGAGATAGGGTCCTAGCCATGTTTTTTTGGGACACAAATGATTCGGCATAGTTCTCCACACAGTGGTCTTTGCACTGCAGACTGCTTCCTTGTTATAAAATCACAGAATGGTTTGGGTTGGAGGTGACCTCAAAGATCATCTAGTTCCAAGCCCCCTGCCATGGGCAGGAACACTTTCCACTAGACCAGGTTGCCCAAAGCCTCATCTACTTTAATTACCAGCCTGGCTAATAGATCCAGGTGTACTGTGGCTAACCATTACCAGCCTTTCAAACCTGCATGTTTGCTAATAACTGGACTTACCTCAAAACCACAATCTGGCCACTGCAGCACTGATGGTTAAAGTTCAGGTGAAAGCAAATTTCTGAGCCATGCTCATTTCTCCAAGACTACATGTCCTATTTAGAGACAAACTCAAAAACGCTATGCAAGCATTCCAAGAAGTTCATCCTAAGAATATATCATGCACTTTTCCTTGCTGGAATCTTACCTCATTGTTTTAGTTGCAATAACTCACCTTTCCTTTACTGAGCCATAAAAAAGGAGTTAGAACAGCTGCTTCAGCTGGTACAAATTACCAACCGCAAACGTTATGGAAAAACTTCAAAATTCCATGAAATACATATTCAGCAACCTGATGGGTCAGAAGTGCAATTAGCCAAATTTGGAGAGCATGACTGGGAAATGACCTCTTAGGGGAAAAGAAATTTTGAAATTGATGGCTTGTTCATTGTACTATGAAATAAATTAGCAGGTAGAAATGAAACAATGCAAAGT